CACTAGCACATGTGGTTATTTAAATTTAAATTAAATAAAATTAAAAATCCAGTTCCTGGGCCGGCCTGGTGGCATAGCAGTTAAGTCCGCGCACTCCGCTGCTGGCAGCCCAGGTTAGGATCCCAGGCACGCAACGATGCACCGCCTGTCAGGCCATGCTGTGGCAGCGTCCCATATATAGTAGAGGAAGATGGGCACGGATATCAGCCCAGGGCCAGTCTTCCTCAGCAAAAAGAGGAGGATTGGCATTCGATGTTAGCTCAGGGCTGATCTTCCTCACAAAAAACAAAAAATCCAGTTCCTTAGTCACACTAGCCACATTTTCAGTGCTCCATGGGCACGTGGAGCTAGTGGCAGCTGTACTGGACAGCACAGACACAGGAAGTTCCCATCACTGCAGAAAATTCTATTGGACAGTGCTGGCCAATTTACACAAAGCAGCATCATTTACTATAATGAGAACTCTTAAAGGTTCCAATTTCTATAGCTAGAGGGAAAAACATCTTTTTGCAAATAGTGGATTTGAGCATACAGTATCTTCTATACAGTATTATACTTTCTATGTGAGTAGGGTGGCAGGGCCTACATGGCAGGCCCTTAATCTGAAGGTTTTGAGTTGACGTCTGGATATTGAAGAAACTTGAAGTCATCACCTTGAGCTTAATTCCCTATACTCTGCAACAGTCTGAATACATATAACTTTATTAATGAGTATGGATCCAGTTTAGTTTTGGAATGATAAATAGTAGGTGTGTGGTTCTGATAAAGCATTAACCAACCTGCTGAAGGCTACACCATTTATCTCATTCCAAGACTCAGCTGTTTATAAAATAAGATCATTTCTGCTCCCTACCTTCTCCCAGGAGATTAGATCTTATCTACACATTATTTTGAAGTACTTGAAGTTTACAAACTAGATGAATACCAGGTTTTAATAACCATTAAATGGATGTGTATTATAGATCTGAACCAAGAAATTGCTACTTTCATCCTAATATGACCAGAGAATGTTCGTAGGAATGTGATGCAACTACAGAGCAATGTCTGAGGGAAGGCCAGTTGACACTCAAAGAGAAACTCATCGAACAGCAGTATGTTGGTCCCCAAACTCTTCCTTTATCAGTGTGCCAACAGCTGATTGTGCTTTGGGTTGCTGAGTCACTCTAACCAAACTTATGAGCCTGACCAAAACTTTCCAGTGTCCTCATCTATAATGGGGGATATATCCTTCTAGCAACAAGATTATGAGTGTCAAGGAGGCTGCAAGACAAAAAGAGCGTAAGAAAGAGGATGGGCTGGTTTTGCAGATTTCAACTAAACTCTGGGGAAGTCACATGGAATATCCCTGCCTCATAATCACCTAATTTCTCAAAGTACCAGAATTATCTCTTCGGCCTGTTGGGGGGCCTCTGCGTTGGATGGTACTGGATTAAGAATGAGCCCTACCTATTCTTCATTCTCCTTTTCTAGGCTCTTCGCAGATTCTGTCCTTGAAACATTCTTCTTGCAACAATATCGTTAATAATTGCCAAGATCACAGCTTCACGCTCAACCCTATCTCCACAATCAGTTAGATTACAACTTTCAACATTAATGCCACAGACCAGGTTATAAATTTTAGCAGCCACCCTAAAATTGATAATATTATCCCTTTCCATCTAGTTACAGATTATTGCTCAGCATCTGTTATTTCTAAGGATGGCTGATTACCTCACTTTTCATCATTTCATTTCTCTCCAACCTTTCTGTCATCTCCTAGAGATGGGGCATAGAAGAAATCTTTGAGGACAGAGACTAGTGGTTTTCAACCTTTTTTTAAAAAGTAACAGAACCCTTTCTTCCCACTGAAAAAATATCCTTCAATATATATAAGACATAAAGGATCTATTTTGGCTCAAGTAGGGGCTTCCTTGCCACACATCCACTCTCCATAGCCACCCCAGGCAATAGTCATGCGTCGCATAACAACGTTTGGGTCAACGGACAGACTGCATATACAACAGTGGCCCCATAAGATTAGTACCATATAGCCTAGGTGTATTGTAGGCTAGTCCATCTAGGTTTGTGTAAATACACTTTATGACGTTCACACAACAATAAAATCGCCTAATGACACATTTAGCAGAACGTGTCCCTGTCATTAAGTGACATGTGACTATACTGTGGAACAGTTTGAAAAACCACCACCTTTGACCAACCCTTCATCTTAAAATCGAGGAAAGAGAGCCAGAGAAGTGAACTGACTTGGAGATACTAAGACAGCTAGGGCTGGCAGAGCTGGTCCATCACACTCCATGAAACATGGGGTGACGAGAAAAGTAGGTAAGAAACTCCTATCCAAATCAAACGACTTCTTCCACAGTAAAGAAGTTACCAGTATAAACAGGTTGAGATTATCTGTGTACTAGATAAAATGAATCTGCTACCAGTGTAAACACATTCAGATTATCTGTGTACAGCCCTGGATAAAAGGAATCTTTTGTAGGAAATATTTAGACTTTTTCAGATATGTGAGACATCCCAAGAGACTATCAGAAGTATAAACTGGGTTTGGGAGGGAAAAAAATGGCAGTCAACCGAAGCTTACTATATCTAAAGATCTCGTAACTAATTTTGGTAGCATGTTGGTAACTGGGCCCCTAATTTCCTATTTAGTCTACTCTACTTTTCTATACAAGTAGAGGCTTTATGCCCCACTCACTACATGACCCAAAGCAATAATTCTATGCAGAAATTTGGAGAACCCTATATTCTCACTACTAGACCAAATAACCTCAGGATGCTTTCCAGAACCTTAATCCGATGAATTAACTATGCTTCAGAGCAGGGTACTTGTGGAAAGACTATCAATTACATTCAGAGCCAAGAAAACATGAAACAAGAAAAGATCCAGCATAATCTGCCAAGGTAATCCTATTTTACTCACTTAAGTCTCACTGAGACTATTACGGAATAAAGGAAAGGAGTGAACCTGGAAACACCCAGGTAAATCAACGGAGCTCTCTAAATGTTTCTTCATCAGAAAAACGAAAGAGTTGGACTTGGTAATCTATAGGTTTTCACTCCAAACTTCACCATGAGGGATTTTTCTAATTTGAAGTAATGCTGATCCTCTTCATTCTAAGGTATCCAATCCCAACGTTCTCCTCCCCACCTTCTTACGGGAGGAAATAAGGAGAAAAAAAGAAAAGAAAGAAACCGCAGCTCGGTCTGGCCTCTACTCAGTACACGTCACGCAAGCGTAAAACCCCTACGGGTCCTGAGGCCACGCTCCGTGGGAAAGCAGCGCATCGCGATGTAATCCTATCTCCCGCCTTCGGAGTCAAACGGCTCCCCACGCAAACAGTTTAGAATCCTGCCTCTTCTTAATGCTACAGCCCGAGAATCCACAAGCCGCTGTGGTCAGCTGCCCTTCTGTGTTCACAACCGTCCAGGGCACAAGTTCTTCAGTCTAACCGAATCCTTCCCAGCGGCAGGGTTAAGCCCAATCCTTCTTTCTGACCTTGGGGAGCCGGCAGCTCCCCGCCCTGTCCCCTCACAGACGCCCTAGGGGCTCCCTCTCGAAGATCACACATTCCTCCCATCCCCCCATCCTCCTAAATTTAGGACAGGGACGCTGTAGGGCCACCGTCTCACTCCCGGGACTGACCAGACTTCACTCCAAATAGGGAAAGACAGAGGAAGAAAAGATAGGATGGGGAGAGACCGAGACACTGGAGGGTCGCTCCTCCAGCACCCTCAGGGGCCAGGTACCCGATCACTCGCGCATCCCTCTCCCCTCCTCCCGCGGACCGCAGGGCACCCAGATGGAGACCCGCAAGGCCCACGCTTGCTCGGACTCCGCTTCGCGCGCCCCCTCGGCTCCATCCCCCAAGACGGAGCATCGGCGAGGGGCTGGAGAGGAAGGGGGTCCCCGCGGTCTCACCTGGGGCGGAGGCGCTCGCTCATGGCAGCCGGTGGAGGCGAGCGACGCGGCGCCGCTCCCCGAGAAGAGCGAACAGAGGGTGTTGCGTTTCGGCGGCCGCCACGCCCACCCCCTCGGGCCTTAGCTCTCGCCCCGGCTCTGGTGGACGCTGCCGGCAGTGAGTACCCCTCGGTAGGACCCGTACCACCGCCACTTCCGGCGTCTGCCCCGCGCCCCCCCATGTCGCAGCCGCCGTGGTACCGCCTTCTCGCGGCTGCGCAGTGGCGTGATCCCGGCCGCGCCGACCGGTAACCCCGCCCACGGGAAGAGGCGGGCTTGGAGGGGGAGGAGCGACTAGGAGCTTCTGGGAGGGAGGACCTCCTACGAGGTGACCCGAGTTTTCGCCTGTTTGCAGCCAAGCGGGGACATGGTAAAAGTCAAGTCAGGTTTAAATTAAATTAAGTTATGCTATAATAATGTGATACGAGTATTTGAGTCAAATCCCTGTGAGGTAGCAATTTTTAAAAAAATAGTCGAAAAGCATCAGGCAGTCGCGCAGACGGCCTGCCGCAGGTCCCGGCAAGGGGGAGTTGGGAATCCGCGCGTGGGCTGCGCTGGGGGGCTTGGCACGAGGGCTCCCTGGAGTTTCACGGTTTGTGAGGTGAGGGGCGCTGCCCTGGGGGCGTCTGACGGAAGGGCCTGTTTCCTACGGCCTAGGCTCTAGGTCTGGAGGCTGTTGTTCTGAGGCGAGAGGGCAGTCGATCGAGTGGTAGGCCAGGTGGGGGCTTCTCGGAGCCCCAGAAGGAGCCCCTTGGGTGTCCCAGCGGTGCCAGCGCCTGGGGCTGGGGTTGTGGGGAGGCCGGCCCGGTCGCAGGAGCTGCCGGCGGTCCCCGCCCACTCCGCTGGCGGCAGCAGGGAGCTTTCGGAAAAAGTAGGGGAGCTGGGAGGAGGGCAGGCCAGGGGAGGAGACGTCCAGGAGAGCGCTGGAGGTGAGGGCGCAGATTAGCGTAGTTAAGATTGGCCCTGTGCCCGAGAGGCTCCTGAAGCCTTAACTCTTGCCTTCCGGAACTGAACCCTGCTGATACCCCAGTTGTTTGTATTTGACTTAGCATTGTGCCACATTTATTCACTGTGTGTGCTCGAGTTACTTCTCTGATTGTGTCTTCCAGAGGCTGACGTTAAAATCGAGTTTCTTTACGCCACACTAGGAATGGAGATCGTGAAGCATGGAGATCCAGGAGAAACCACCGAAAAGTTAGCATCCTTCTAGAGAAGCTCTGGTAAGAGAGCAGTTAGGTACTGTCAACGCAAATAATTCATAGTCAATCTATAAATCAAAGTTGGGGTGAGTTTATTTCGAGCCAAGTTTGAGGACTATAGCCTGAGCCTTCCTTCCCCAAGGAAGGAAGAGCACCAAAGCAGTGGGGTGTACAGAGTAGTTATATTCTGTCTTCGAACAGAGAGCACACATCACACATGATAGGAATATCTCTTTTACTATCGTCACGACATGCTTAGCTGGCACAGCAGGTCTGTGGCGAGCAGGTCAGTGGTCACAAGGTGAGCACAGCAGGTGGGTAATTAATCTTTGCTTTCCAGGAAGAGGTGCTTATCCTTAAAGAAATGCTGATATGGGGGGAAGTTACATCCTTATCTTTAGGGGCATCATTCTTGTCTTTGGAACACAGTAAATGTTTAAAGCAGATGTACAACGCATGCTCAACAGGCCATGTCAGGCCCTTTTGGAAAAACAAGGTCAGGCCAAATTAGTTTTATTTATTTATTTATTTTTGGTGAGGAAGCTCAGCCCTGAGCTAACATCCATGCCAATCCTCCTCCTTTTTTTTTCCCCCCAAAGCCCCAGTAGATAGTTGTACATCATAGTTGCACATCCTTCTAGTTGCTGTATGTGGGATGCGGCCTCAGCATGGCCGGAGAAACGGTGCGTCGGGGCACGCTCGGGATCCGAACCCGGGCCGCCAGTAGCGGAGCGCGCGCACTTAACCGCTAAGCCATGGGGCCGGCCCAGGCCAAATTAGTTTTAAACCAAATGGCTTCCTCAGATACTCCAGTATATGCTATTGTTTTTCCTTTATTAATCAGGACCCACATTAAGACGTTATTATGTGAGGGTACAGAGATCTTTCTAGTAGGATTAAGTGTGATGGTGGAGTACTGTAGAGGCAGACACATCTAACAGAAGTCTCAAGCCCCTTCTAAAGTTATTAGCCTAAGCCTGTTGACTAGCTTCAGTGTGTGTATTTTTGTAAATAAACGGTTCATAACTTTCATTATATTGTCAAAGGGGTACCTCCAAAGTAGGAATAATTACTGTAAAGTCTGTTGGCAGAAAACAGTTTTGTTTTGCCTGACTCCATGTAGGATAAGGTGGGTTGCTTGCTTTGATAAATTGATTGGCCAGCATTATATCTATTTGTTTTGTTAGTGGTTTCAAGGTCTCACTTTTTGACCTATATAGTGGTCAGAAGATATTCGCAGTCACAGTACCTTATAATGGTGTATGTCCAGAGAAAGAATTCATTCAACAGATATCACATGCCAGGCTCAGTGCTAGGTTTTGAGAATACAGCTGTGCACAGGTTAGACATGTTCCCTGCCCTCTAGAACTTTATAGAAAGAATAAAAAATGTAAAAAAAAAGGAAATAACTTTCAGCAGGGCTTTGGAATTAAATATTTGTTTTTCCTGACTCAAGAAGATAACAAAGAGGTACAAATGAAACATGGTATAAATTTTTTTAATGTTTTTACATGGTGTAAATTTCACAAAAGATGTCAAACTAAACAAATTTGCCAATAATCCGTTGTACTACAAACTACAATTTAAAAATTTGAGAGCATGTCCTCTCCATATATATTTGTGCATTATGTGTACTTTTATATATGTGTGTTATGTATATATCTACAGTCATGTGCCACGTAATGATGTCCTAGTCAATGATAGACCGCATATATGATGGTGGTCCCATAAGATTAGTACTATATAGCCCAGGTGTGTAGTCAACTATACCATCTGGGTTTGTGTAAGTACGGTCCATGATGTTCGCACAACGGCATAGTTGCATAATGACGCATTTCTCAGAATGTATCCTCGTCATTAAGCGACACTTGATTGTATGCATATTACTAATATATTAAAAGTAGAGCTTCATTTCTCGTGCTTAGATAATGGAAGTTTAGTATTTTCTTCTTGCATCCCAGTGGATCTTCCATATGTCACTTTGGAAACCACTACTCTAATCAACAACCTTCAAATCCTGGCCTCAGTTTTTTATTCTTTACCATTCTTCCCTTGAATGATGTGTTTAAGAGTTTTTAACAATTTTATTATACTCATGTGATATCCAGTTGACCTGCTACAACCTTAAATAGCAAACATTTTATTCTGAATGGTATTTTGGACATCTGTTCCTTCCACTAATTAATTCATTAGACTTAAGTCTTTTGGTCTTGCTCACCTTCTAGTTAAGGATGTTGAAAAACCTCTTTGATTGTCTTTTGTAATGACTGATTCTTAGAAGACTTTAAGAAATATAAAATACCAAGCAGAAATGGAGCCAGGAATATTTATCTAAAATCAAACTGTGTCTTCTATTTTCTGTCTCTGTAAGAGAAAGAATGGATCAAAACAAACTTTTAATAAGTTCCTTCAATGTGAGTTCTTCCAAATGAATTTAAAAGGTACGAGACAAATAAAATATTGGTATTTATTCTACAAACTATGTGCTCCTCATAATGTCACATTTTTTTTTTTCAGGAATAGGAGAGTGATATTCCACCCAGAATGGAAGTGTGTCCGTATTGTAAAAAGCCATTTAAGCGATTAAAATCCCACTTGCCACACTGTAAGATGATAGGACCACATATACCTGCTGATCAGAAAGTTTGTCACTCCCCGCCACCTACACTCCCACGTGCTAAAAAAAGGAAAGGGCCAGTCAAAGACTTAATTCAAGCTAAAGAGAGGGAGTTTGGGACAGAGAAGGAGAAAAGAAATCCTAAGTTGAAAAGGCACACACCAGAACGGACAGATAAGTCCTTTCCAGTATTAGCTGGTTTGGAAAAAGCAGGTAATACAAAGACACATAAAGACGTCAAGAATCAAATTCAGCTCTCCCTCAAAATGTTAAAAAATACTGAACCAAAGATTACTTTCCAGGGAGAAACTAAGGCTCAGTTTTATGCATCAGAGAACACTACTCCTGAAAAAGAACTTGCCAAAGATTTGCCTAAATCAGGGGAAAGTAGAAGTAATCCTTCAGAAACTGAAGCATCTTTACCTCTTGGCCCATTGTTTCCTTCTTCATCAAATCAAGGTAGAAAATATTCTTCAGCCTTACCTAATGATGTACAGACCACTTGTGCTAATTTAAGATTGGACAAAATTGATCCCCCAAGACAGAAGCTTCTAGCAAAATTACCAGATATGCCTACTGATGATGATCATAATTCTCCCCTGAATGTCAATTATGGGGTTAAAAGAGTAAGATCATCGTTGTCAAGCAGTGAGAGAGATTCCAAGGCCGGGGATCGCCTCTCAGATGTCTCTACTAATTTTAGAGACTCTGAGTCTCAGGAAAAGAACACAGAATCACAAATTTTAAGTTTTAAAGTTAGCCCATTAGGCAGAATCCAAGTCAGGGAGAAGCAGGAAAAAGGACTTAACCTTGAAGTAGAGGCATGTGGGAGAAAAGGAAATGCAGAAAAAAGTGTGTGTGTGACAGAAATGACTTCCACGAGCGATGACTCTAAGAAGGACTTCAATACCGATGATTCAGCCACAGAGAAGAACTCTCAAGATGAAGGTCCCAATTTAAGTTTGTTCGTGCCAAGGGAGACAACTCACGAGTTCCTTTCTGTATCACAGTCATGTAATCAAAGTCTTACCTCTCTGGCTATAAAATTTCTTCAAGAAGAGAAAGCAGAAGCCTGCAATCATAATCGAGTCCCTAATGTAAAGGCGTTGATGGAGAGTGAAGAACGAACTTCTCTGCAGCCCCAATCTGGCTCTCGGCCCCAAGCATCACAGCCTGGGTGCCAGCAGTCTTTACATTCAACCCAGGGTCACACTTCTGAAAGCCCCTTCACCAGTCAGATCAGTGTCGCTGACAGGAAGACACTTCCTAGCTCCCTGGGGCTGGAGTGGTTTCCAGAGCTCTATCCTGGTTATCTTGGCCTAGGGGTGTTGCCAGGGCAGCCTCGGTGTTGGAATGCAATGGCCCAGAAGCCCCAGCTCCTCAGTCCCCAGGGGGAAAGACTGTCTCAAGGTAAACACGCTCATTTCCAAGGGTCATCCAGCCCATCCAAACAGTTCTGTGCCTTTTGAATCATTAAGGTTCAGAATACTGATATTTTCACTCATTTAGCTTATTATGCCTAGGTAGGCATTCCACTGCACTGGACTTAAAACATTACTTCTTGCTCCAGGTGGGTCAGTAACAGTGGTTTATCACTCTCCCTTCCCCTCCACCAGGAGTTGAAGGCTGCATTAGGACAGGCTGGCTGGTGATTTTGATAACAGTTGAATTTCTACACTGAGAAGAGGTATGGCCAGTAGAAATTGGGTGGGTATTCAGGCTGAACAGACTCAAGAAAAGCATAAAGACTTCATGGTCCACCTAAATAGAACAAGCACCGTGTTCAGATTTCAATCAGGACCGGGTTGTACACAAGATAGTTTCCAGGTTTATGGTCAAATGCAATATTGAGGAATTTAGGGTAGCAAAGAAGGTACCAGCAGATGCTATTTTTGAACTTGGGGGCAGGATGGGTTTAAAACTGTCCAGGGATGTGTGGCAGTCAAAGCAGATAGGTGGAAGTGGAAGTTCAGGAGATGAGGACCAGCAATAGAGAGTGGCAAAAGTTGTAGAAGTCCATGCACTAGAAAAATTGGTCCACAGAGATTAGGACCCAAGAATGGAACCAGATACTGAGCCTCAGAACGTGAGAGATTAGGTAAGAAGGACTAGGGGGAAGAGACTGGACATGGGTACTGATCTGGATTGTGAATCTGTCTCTTCAGAAACTTCTAGATGCTCCTTGCTAATGCCTAGAATAGGTTAACTGGTGGGTAGGACTACAGCCACAAGTCGGAGCCAAGTTCCTGACGGTCATTTGAGGCATCCTCACTTGCTTCTGCTGACTCGCACCCTTAGTTACTGGACTACATCTCTGGCTACAACACATAAATTTCTTCATTTTCTTCACCAGGAAATTTGGATTTTTTTCTTTTTTTAGGTTCTCTAGGGGCAGTTAGTTTAATGAGGCATCCATCTTGTGTGTGTGCATTGGCTCTTTTAGGTTTATTTTGACAGGAGTCTATAGCAACTCACGATAGATTTATACCTGAAAAACTTGTATTAGCTTTTCTGGAGGGGATATATTTTTTCCCTCTTACAGTTTGTAAATGCTCACGTATTCACCAAATCCCAATTTGTCTGGTCTCGAAAACTTTTATTTCCTTTTGTATTTTAATTATCCCTCTTCAGTGGTTTCAAAGGCAGTGTGTTAAGGAAAGAGCGTTACTAGGTAAAGCTGCATTTTCTTCAGCTGCCTCAGTCGTTCCCAGTTCTGCAAACAGGTCTAACATCTAGGCTGTCTACAAAGTTATAGTCTCAAGGTCAGAATTGTAGTGTCAAGCTCCTTCTCCATATGAAACGTAGAATTAATATGAGCCTTTGTCTTGCTCTGTGGTTTTCAGAGTGCTTCCATCTGTTTTCCTATTTCAGCCTCACCACGCTGAGAGGTGGGCAGGTGATTTTTTTTTCCCCCCCCAAAGCCCCAGTAGATAGTTGTATGTCATAGTTGCATATCCTTCTAGTTGCTGTATGTGGGACACGGCCTCAGCATCGCCAGAGAAGCGGTGCGTCGGTGCGCGCCCGGGATCTGAACCCGGGCCGCCAGTAGCGGAGCGCGCACACTTAACCTCTAAACCATAGGCCCGGCCCCTGATTTTCTGTTTTGCAGATAATGAAACAGGCCCACAGAGAGTAAGTGATTTGTCCTAGGTTGTGTTGCCAATAAATTGTTGGCAAGTTGCAGGTAGAGTTGCAAGTAGAACCTGGTTTCCTGAGACCTAGTCTAATCCCTTCCACTAAACTATATTGTAGAAAATATGCCATAGCTAGAAACATGGGTGTTTGTTATATCTCTGTACTTCTTTGTGTTTTTCAGTTGCACAAACGCAGCCCATAGCAAATCTCTCTAGCAAGTGGAAAGTCTTCTTTATTTTCTGCACTCTCTTTTATAGTGCTAAGGCGTGTTCTTGATACATCCACTTTCACTTTTAGGGAGGGAACTAATGTTTATCAAGTAATGAGGTTTCAGTCGTCGTGCTAGGTGCTTACGTTATCATCTCATTTAACCCTCAGAACAACTGTGAGGTGATATCACTGTCCGTCCTTTTTTATAGGTGAAGAATCTGAACTTCACACATCTTCCATCTTCCTACAGTACGGGGCAGTCAGGATTCAAATCCATGTCCATCTGACTTACACATCCATGGTCTTTAAGCTCTGCCTCAGGCTTACTCTGTGGGGCAGTTAGTTAGTGGTCGATGTCATGGTTGATTTAAGTTATTAGTTGACACACTTTAATAGGTCCCAAGAATACAGTAATAATAAGGTAAGAGATACAGTAATTTATGCCGTTAAATCACTAGGCTTGTGAGATTGAATATGGAGGAAAAATAGTCTTTCCATCAACAAGAAGTTCCTCTAGAATAGAGGTTAGAAACTAATTTGTTTTCTTATTGGTTACAGTCTATAATATGTGATTAGTTTGGATTTCTATATCAGACAATAATGTGGCTATCACTGGGCCTTTAGTTCTGTTAGAAACTGAAAAACTATAGAAATTGGCTCCATGATTAATGTTCAGACTTTGATGCTGCCACAAATGAACAGAGGATACAAGAGGAGACCCTGGGATCTCAGGTCAAGACCTTATTCCTCAGTTGGCCAAGGACTTCAGCAAGGCCATTTAAATCTACAAGGATTAAAAGGTAGTGTGGTTCCTGAGAAAGCTTTGTAATTTCACCAGGTAATGTCTACCTCCAATGACTGCAAATTAAAATGAACTTTTTTAGAATCTTTGCAGAAGAGCATGTGGTGTATATTTTCTTACGCAGGCAAGACCTTTGATAGACCATTCAGCCTTCTTTATCTCAGGAAGGCACCTCATTTCTTTGTTACTTCCAGGCAGGGCCAGTGAACTAACAATTATTGAGTTAACTATATGTCAGGTGTAATACCTGCCTATTTACATAGGTTATCTCAGGTAGTCTTATACCAAACCTGGGAGATTGGGCTTATCCCCTTTTACAGATGAGAAAACTGAGTTTCAGAGAGGATAAATAACTTGCCCAACATCAAGTTTCAGTTGACGGTTGACATCTGACATTGCGTGATGGTCTTTGCCAAGCTTTTCCAGGCACTGTTTCTTCTGTTGGACTTTTGGGCTTCAAGATAATGTCAGATATTCTTTTCTACATAGAGAAACCTATAACAGCAGCTAGTCTTCATATATCAGGGTATCTGAGTAAACTTAGGTGAAGTGATCCCACCAGATGGAAAGGTACCCAGGGCCTTGAGAGGCATAAAAGACTATCTTGTCGTTTTGATGAGACAAGGTAGAACCAAAAGCTCTCATGGCTGACAAAAAATGGATATATTTTGGTGGCCCAAGCTAGGAATCCCAAAGCAGACTGTTCTGAGGATGCCACTGTGTTATAGTAAATCAGGAATAAGAGAATTAGGCTTATGGAATTCAGCAGCATTAGGAGCCATCTTTTGAGCTTCAGAGACAAAGATTTTTATGGACTTAGTACCAAAAGGAGTAGTTTTCCTGGCCTTAGTGAAAATAGATTTTAGAAGTTCAAGATTTAAATCTCAGGAGACTCAAGTACAATTGTCTAAGAGTCCTCAGCAATAGAAATTGGTTTTCATTGTTCAAAGGGAAGCTTTCAGAGTCTGCGTAGCCTCTAGAGCATTGAGCTGGGAGCACTTGGCTGAGCCTTTGCAGAATTCAGGGCCTTGTCTTTGGGGACTCAAAGTTTAAGAGATCAATGTCCTTAGTTCCCAAGTCTGGACAATCAGCAGTTTCACATGGGCATTTTTGTAAAGATTCCTAGGCATCATCCTCAGAGATTAATTCTGAAGTAAGGTCTAAGAATCATATTTTCAAACGTTTTCCAAGTGTTTCTGAAGAGCAGCCAAGTTTAAGAACTGTTGATGTAGGTGATGGCAATGGAACAGGTGCCTCAGACCCAGCAGGGGAATATTCCCAAACAAATGGTGGGCGAGGGAAAGGGTGGTTTGAAAAAAAAATAATTCATATAACTACAGAAAGCAAAACTTGGCTGACGAGGATACCAGAAGGTAAAGTGAGAAAACCTTATAGGGTCATGGATTTGTAAAGGCCAAGAAATGGCTAATTAAAGGCTGTTCTCTAGCGTTCAAACAGGATTTCCATCAATAGGGTATCTGTGTGAGATGTTTGACATGGGGCCCATGTGAGGAGGGGGCTCAGAATAGTCAGGATCAGAACTTGAGCACGAATATGACAAGCCAGGATTGGGTCCTGTATTAGCCAGAGGAGTCCATGAAGGGGGTGTTTTAGAAAAGAGCATGTGATTAATTAGCAGCCAGAGACATGAGGGGTGAGAGATCACACGTCTGGGATTCTGACAAGGCCAGACGGATGACAGGAAATGTTAGAGGTAGAGAGGGTGGAGGAGGGTTTTCAGCATTTGTATTAAGAGTGGAGCCATTGTCACTGGGTTTGAAATGTAAGGATGTCAACACTGGCAGGTGAAGGAGAGTGTCTAGGAGATGAGACAGCGGAAGGATGGCAGGCGGTGATAGCAGTCCTAGGCCCACAGCTAGGCCGTAAGGATGTCGATCAGAACGCAGAGTACCTGGGCAGCAGGCAGAAGCATTGAAAAAAACTCGAACAGGACTTGTGTGGGCTCTGAGCTGGCCTCTCCTGGGCCTTGGGTACTAATATATCCCAGCTCAGGGCTGAACTGACGTCATTCACGTAAGTTGGACTGAACCTGTGATGAAGTAAATAGGCTCCACTGCCTGGGAAAGAACAGTCAAGGAGCCGTACAGTTCCTGACGCTGCAGAGAAAGTGGTTATACAATTGCAGTTTTCATGGAGTTTTCTCCCCATCTTTTTCTTCAGATTTTTTTTTCAAGATGAATAGATTATGTCCTGCTTTGTTTTTTAAGAGACTAATCTTCACTTTGCAAGAGATTATCTTCTGTGTAATTTCTTGGAAGCCAGCATGGTTCTTTTCATTGTTACTTAATATGATGATGATAGTTTGGATAGTATTTTTACATTCCCAGCGGCTTTTACCACACCTGCTAAACCTGTCATAAATACTTGCTTAATTTCTCCCTTAGCCTGATGAACCAAACCAAGGCCAGAGAACCAGCACTAGTAGAGATTCCCTGCCTGTCATGAAAGAGAAACACAGGTGCAGGAAAAATGTAATTAAGTAGCAGAAACACTGCTTTCTGGTTCTACTCTAGTTATTCCTGTGTTGAACATAAATAAGAATGTTTGCCTGTCAGTAGTAGCGATGGGGTAATAGACATGTTGACTGTAGATGTAGTGACAAGTAGTAGTTAATATGATAATAGTAGAAGGTCATGCTTTTTGCTAAGATGTTTAGCAGATACAAGCGATTCATTTCATTAAGCATGTACACATCGATCATCTGGGTAATATATTCATCAGGTCAAAAAGGTATCTGGGTCCTGATCCCTAGGGGCTCCTTTAGCCTTTTGAAGAACCTTTTTTTGACCTGGAATAGACTGCTTGGGCTTTCAGCACTTAGTTAGCTGCAGCCCAATACAGACATTAATCCACCTCTTGATACTTTTCCTGTGGCCTAGCCCTGGCAACCTTGGGTACTGAGTATTAGGGAAGAGGGTGAATTTAGATGAACTATCACAGTGACTTCTGTTTGGAACCGTAGTTCCTTTGTTGGAAAGAAGTTCGACTGCTGTAAGGAGTTCGGAACCCCCGACCAGGCTTACAACCTCCAACTTCTCTCTAACGAGACTCTTGGGAGCTGTACAGAAAGGTGAGGCTGGAGTCCTTGACTGTTGGGTTCTGTTCCTGGTTCCAAGCATCTGGAGTTTCTCTTACTTTAACCATGACTGTTACAGCAAGGCTAAAGAAAAGAGAAAAAGAGACAAGTGTGTAGTCTTCCTCCTCTTCAGTTTATCTGTTTTCATTCCGGAGTCTGACATAATTGAAAGCACCAAAGCTAACACAGTAGCAGCTGCCATTTATTGCACAGCTTTCATTTTTTAATACCTACCCCTACATCTCCCTTTCCCACATTGATGGTCCCAAAGCCAGGAAGAATGTAATCTCAAGTTAACCAATCGTATACATCTCCTCCCTGCTAAAGATTTTAACCAGACTCCCCAAAACAAGAGTAATTTAAATTTATTAAAACTAAGGTCTAGTGTATTTTAGCCTTTTCATCTGTGTAAAAAAATATATATATAGTGGTATGTAAACTCTTTGGATCACAATTCCATTGCCCAAGCTAACTGGGACTCCTTGAATAACTCACAAGTTGTGGCCCCTAGGTACATGTCACTGTGACAATTAGACATGTCTCTTTTTAACAGGCTGGATCAGGTGCAGCACCACCATGAAGAGTGGAGTTGGTGGCATCACAATGCTCTTCACAGGATACTTCGTCCTTTGTTGTAGCTGGAGTTTCAGGCATCTGAGTAAGCCTTTCTATATTTTTAGCCTCAATTACAGGTCACATCCCACTATAGGCACCTCTAAGGGATTCTCCAAAGTGCTTTTTGTATTACAGTTTTGCAGTATCTGACACGCCCTAGTGAATGAGCTATTATTGCCTGAGGCTCTGGGGTTTTTTACTGGAGGTTTTGGTTATAATGGCCTTTATAAGATTTGATTAGCATTTACATAATTGCTCTTGTGCTCCATTTAATGTTGTCACTGGAGATCTGGTGGTCTTGTGTTTTCTCCTTCAAGCTGTTTGCCTGCTGGAAGATCAGGGCTCTTCTTGGTGACTTTTTAGCTCCTCCCTAAGAACTTCTTTTTAGGACTGAAACCAAACAGGTTTATACCTCAGAAGAGAAAAGGAGAAACAGAATGCAGCTGTCACTCATCAGTGTGTCCAAGGCTTATAGCTGTCTGGGTTCATCTACTTTTATCTTTTACAAAACAAACACCCTTCTAGTTATGAGTTTCAGCTTGCACTAAATCTTACCAGAAGGAAAATGGCTGAATTTCATTTCTCTTTTAAAGATAACTTTTGCTCATTTTTTTAAAGTATTGTTTTATAAAAATATATCCTATATAGTTAAAAATAAAAAAGACATTTATAAGAAGATATTTTAAAAGCCCAGTATTTTTCCACAATTAAAAAAAAAAAAAGCCGAGATGCTTTCAGATGAAAACTTCTGGTGTAAAAGTGCAAGATAACGATGAGCACTAGAGGCCAGCAGAATTCACAGACTTCTAAAATGCCGGGGTTTACTGGCTAATTCAGTGCCTCGTAAGCAAGCAGCTCCAGCAGCAGGAGGGCCTGCGGCAGGCCAGGCACAGCGGCCCTGCCCTCTTGTGCTCCAGCTGCCTGTGGGACCTAAAACCTCCCGTCATTTCCTTCAGAGGGGGAGGCCTGCCCTTAGTGCTCTGCCTGCCTGGAAGGGATCATTTAGTTGATAGTGAGGTTATTTTTCACATCTATACCTTGAGACTGAAGAGAGTGAAGCAGAAACTTTTTGTTGTGCCTAAGACTTTATTTCCAAATTTATAAAACAAAAATAGAGCGCAGTGACCTGTAGAGGCGAGAGGTAGAAACAGTCGAGAGAAGTGGCCTCTCGGATCCTTACATTTATTTCTGTTTATCCAAAGAGCCGCAGCGCTGGCATAAGTAACGTTGGCCTGGACACCACTTACAGAAGTTTGGAACTCCAGGGAGAGTACGCTGGAGACGACTGCAGCCCATATTTAACAGTTTAAATTGTATTTGGGGCAGGGAGAGGGAGGGAAAAGAATAAAATTATTGGAATCTAAAACAGTTATCTAGGAAGTAAATTGTTTTAATGTGGACAGACCTGGTTCTTCTGGATGTTTCTTTGGCTTGGTCTCAAAAGTATGTGAAAGTTATTGAAAAAAACTTCAGTTTGTTTAATCATAAAGGCTTATGTTATTCAAGCAGACATGAACATGACTACGTTTATGGTTAAAATTTTTAAATAACTATTTCCCAACTCTCAGTAAAAACCAATATCTCAATTTAAATTTTTCTCCCTAAAAATTGTTCTCTAAACCTTGGCATTTTCCTGTTCATATTATACTAGACCCTAGGCTACATGTATACTGGAATAGAATAGTATTTGAATTGGCAAAAAATCAGCATACATCAGGCCCTTCCCCTTGGGAATGGTTGGGCTCTTTTGGGTCCATGACCAGATTCTGGCTGGTGTGAGGAAAAAAAGCAAAGTGAGGGTGAGTACAGAGCTGCAGGTGAGCCTGTGGAAAATCTTTGACAAATGTTTTTTAAGCTAAGTAAAATAGCATACTAAACAGAATGTTGTCACCTTTTATACACCTTAAATTCGTATAATAGAAAATGGTTTCTGTTTATTTCTCTCTTCTGGAAACTTCAGAATCCCAGTTACTAAAAGGAGTATTTAGATATTCCTCTCAGTTTGTTAGGGTTGTTTTGGCTGGTAGGTTTTCTGTGTCTCTTCCCCCATCAAAATATTCAGTGTTTTCCTAATTTTATGACTTCTGCTTTGGGCCCTAGAGAGTAACTTGGATACTTACAGGTAGAAAAGGCTGTGAGGAGATTTACCATAGACAACACAGATGGATAACAGTTTCTCCAGCCCCTTTCCCAGTACGGGGTTGGTTATATATCATATACAGATATGCCTCTGTCTTAGCTTTGCCTGTGATGTCTTCATGCCAAAATACATGAGGTCAGTCCCTCTTTTGTCCTAGCTCCTTCACATTTACAAAAAAGCAAGCGTGCTGTCCTAAGGCCAGCATTTACTTATTTGCACATCTCTTCCTTCTCTCTTCTCAAAACTTGATTTCTGGCTTCACCTTCTGCTTTATCTACCTTTTCTCTTCCCAATCCCCTATTCCCCTCTCCCTCTCTAATTATCGCCAGTGGGAGTAATTGAATTCTGGCTCATTCTCACGGTTAACACCAAGGTATTCAGAAGTATATCCCTGTATACTAGAATCCTCCATAAGGAAGAACTCATGGTTGAGGGAAGAGTACTACATTTAGTTATTTTAGTTTAATATTACTAGGAACTTCAGTGAAACTCCAAAAACAGTATCTTTCTTTTTGAAAGGGCTTCGTGCCTATTCTTTGTAAATGCTCTTTAAGAGACACACTTAGGGAGGGATTCTCCTGCGCCTCCCCTCTGTCCTTACTCTAGACCAGAAACTCGCAAGGTTCAAAGGTAGATGAGAATGACCTCCCAGCGGTGTCCTCTTTCACAGTTCCCAGTCCCCTCTAGCAGGGACCAGCAGACTACAAAGGCCTGCAGGGCCAATCCAGCCACTGCCTATTCTCGTAAATCAAGTCTTACTGGAGTACAGCCCTGCTCATTTGGTTCGGTGTTGTCTGTGGCTGCTTTCACACGACAATGGCAGGTTTGAGTGGTTGCAACAGAAACCACATGGCTTGCAAAGCTGAAAATACTATCCGGCCCCTTACAGAAAAGTGTGCCGACCTCCACCCTTGGAGGAGGAGAACACCTCGTGGTCTCTATGTTGGAGCAATGAAGAAGACTGGGGATCGCTGCTCTAAGACATTTTTGGGTTAGGAAACACATATAAGTAGGCGAAGCCTTTCTTGACTTAGTGCCTTAGTGCCCTGGTGTTGCCTCTGAACCACCCATAACACGTAAGTGCAGCGGTGGCACCAAGGGGCAGCTTGTAGCCCCCCAGGATTTTCATCATGAACATTTTTAGCACCACTATAAACAAACTAGTGTCACTTGTCATCAGAATGCTAAGACAATGACAAAGTTTAACTTAGGGTCACAATAAGTATTTTACATCCCTGAAAATAAATTCTCTAATCAGAAGAATGGCCAGTTTAATGATCCATCAGTTCTAAAGGGATATCGGCTTCATATTGCCAAGTTTAAGACAAAGGCAGAATCCTATATTGACCAAAGGGTTTCTAAAGGTGGACATTGGTCAGTACCAAGAATTCTAACTCACATGTAGTAGGAAAGAGCAAAAAAAGTCTTAACTGATTTCTTTGAACTAGATACTGAGCACTGATTCTTAAATAAAATGATGTGGGTAACTTTCAAGAAGCCATCAGAAGTCTTTCCAGATCCTGAAGTTATTTGATAACATCCACAAAGCAACAGAGGGAAAGGTTCCCTGTCTACTCATTGCTGCCTTCTGGGGTGAGAAAATACTCGGAGACCTTTTATCAAATCTTACAGATTTCTTCGTAATGTCCAAATAGTTTGAGTTGTTGAGGTAAGTTGATAACTAATTGATTATTTTCCTAAAGTCAGATGAAAACAAACTCAGGATGATTGAGGAATGTACATCAGAGCTCCAGTTTGCAATACTGATGTAAACTTGCCTTGTGAGGATTAGGCAAGTTTGTTCATATATGCCAGTGTTCCTACAGATAAGTTCATTTGCATAGCCAGTCCCAATTGTGTACATGGTCTGGCAGATTCGAGACTTCATCCAGAAAGACTAGAAATTCTTTTCAAAACTGGAATCATAGACAAGTGAGACTGTGCTGTATCTGCAGAAGCCCATGCACTTCAGATGGCAGGAGGAACTGCTCATCTCTTCACAAAGCCAAGGGAAAAAGAAGTCAAGAATGCCCCTAACGTGATAAGCATCCTCCTTAATCTCTTAAAATCCTCTTCTGTGGCATTGGCAAGAGCTTTCCTAGGTAAGCAACAGTGCTTAGATTTTGCTTCCAGGGCAGCATCGTGAATTCCTGATCAAGTCTTCCAGCAATGTGCATAGAAATTAAGCCTGAGAATCTATACAAGCAATCCATATCCACCTCCCCATCCATCCTACAGAAGAATTTCAGCGATACCCAGGCTCCTCTCCATCCTTGAGAAGACTTACGACGAGGCTCTGTTACTGAAGGTTGGGAATGTTCACAGGCATGTCTGGACACCCTGGCTGTAACTCACATGGTCTGTAAGTTAGTCTATCCCTGGTGCCACCTACTTGAGTTTAATCCTCAGTGGTAATATCTAAAATAATTGAGTTTACTACAGAAAGTATATTTTTTCTCATACATGTTAAAATATTTAGCTATTAAAAATAAAATGACTTTGTTGTATTATCAATGGGCTGTTTTACACTTTATGGGAAACCCTATCTGCTGCCACTATTCTTTTCAGTCATTTTTTTTGTGATTTATGTCGATCTTAATTCCTCTCAATACCTGCCTCCCCCATGTTCCTTCTACATGTGACTACCATCACTCTTGATAACAAAAATATTTAAAAATATATATATATGCCTCTGTTCTGGTCATTTGCCTCTTCCAGGCCCTCACCCGTGAAATGGGTGGGTGTCAGGTTGGGCAAGTTATCTAGTTTATGGAGCCTCCTTGGTCTGGACTGTAAAGTAGGGATAATTATACCTACTTTGCAGACATGTGGTGAGATTAGAAGTCTTGCATCTATTACTTCCAGCAACATCTGACACACAGGAATGAAATAATAACAGCTCTTCTAAAACCTCTTGTGGCATCATACTATGTTCAGATTCTAAACTTGAACCAAGAGGGAGCCCACCACGATCCACACTGAAATCCAGCTGCCATTTGGGTGCGTGCGTTGTGCCAAGTGCTGTGCCGAGTTCTTGACATGCGTTCTCTCCTTTTATCCTTCCAACCACCCAGGCAGGTGCTATTATCACTCTCATTTTCCAGAATGAGGAAACTGAGGCTTGAGGGGGTTAAGTAATGTGTCTACATAGCTATGTGGTATTTGTCACATGCAGCCCAGGGTGGAGCTGGCATTCAGACTCCCAAAGTCTCTCCTGGACCAGCATTCTTTTAGACTGCCGCACCTTCAAGCCCCAGGCAGGCCAGGCAGCTGTCTCCATCTGCCAAAGGAAGGGGGACCCATCCCACTGCACGTGTTTATTGTTGACCTGTTCTCCATTTCTCCAAAAGGCTCCGCTTTGCCTCCCTGCTCTTCTCCCAGTGGATTAAATTGCACTGGTGTTGGACGTGTATAATGGCAGAGATAGTGTAGCATTAAGTGTTTCGTGTCACCTCCTTACCTCCCCAGGGTAAGCCTTGTGTGTACCATCTACCTCCCTGTAATTCCTCACATAGGCACGCACAGAATATAATCTTAAATTTAAGGAAGCCATACAGGGAAGCAGCAGTCACACTAAAGAAAACCGCTGGATTTAACTGCCAGCTTATAGCAGCAGTTGAGGCCATGTACACAGGAACTGCCGCGTGCAGCCCGGACTTGTCTGTAGCAGTGCAGGAGCTGAGCTAGGGATAATGACTATTTCCAATACACTTGAGCTTTTGGTTTTTACATAAATTTTGCTCCCGTTTTATGGATAACGCATCCCGCCACAGTCAATCTGCCTCCAATCCTGTTGTATTTTTGGTAGCTCATGCACTTACAGAAGGAATAAACCTAAGTGCAGCAGGCTGCTTATGCACCTTGTCTCCTGTTCAGACCAACAGTGGGCTCATTGGAACGTGGGAACAGAGGGTCCCACAGAATGGCCACTGGGTGTCTTCACTAGAAGGTCTTCGGTTCCCCAGACAGACCAGAGGTTATTTTTTCGTAATGATACGACTTCTTATAAATTCAAATCCCAAGAGAAATATCCTCAATTGTCCAGGGAATCATAGGAGATAGTTAGCTGGCTTTCTGAGGAATTTGATGGATTCTGCTCATAAATGAAGCTCCATTTCAGGCCTGAAAGAGACCGTGCGATTCAAGCCCAGCATCACTACCTCAGAGAACAGGGCTCTGGAGGCTCAGAGGCCAATAAATCAAATGTACGAGAAGGGCAGGGCCTCTGCTCCCTCACCTCATCCTGTTAGAATAGTCTTGCAGAATAGAAGTCAAAGCTCAGGACAATTAGAGGTTATCTCATGAAGATAGGAGAAAACATGATGTTTTTCTTCCTGATAAGCCAGAAGATAGTCAAAAAAGGAAAACCAAGGTGCTACGTTCCCTTCCTTACCAAACTGCCCCCCAAACCTTAAGGACATTGTGTATAAATCACTCAGAGAATTGGTAGGCAGCAGAATCAGAAACGAAAGATATTTAACTTACTGGCTTTTAAAGAAACAGTCTTGTCTGGCAAGAGATGCAAATAAGATGAGGGGGTTGAGCCTCTCCAGTGGTAACATTTGTTTCACCAGTGTGCCCGAAACAGGGTTAATTCACTGTCCTCAACCCCAGCATGGTTTTATCTGCAGCAGAAAAGGAGTGACACATTCTGCAGCCGATCACCTCTCCCTCGCCCTCAACAGAGGGACAGCCAGTCCGGTCAGCCCTTGACTCACCCTGTAGCCTGGGCCCTGCTCTAGCGCCGCCGTGAGCCCAGGCAGCAGGAGACCCGGTGCTCGTGGGGCCTCATCTGCAGGTGGAGAAGCAGGCGCTCCGTCAGAGGAGGGGACTTGCAAGGTTCCCAGGCAGCAGCAGGAGGTGCTGAACCCCGGGGCCAGTTGATGAGCTGCAGATAAAGTGAAGTGGTGAGGAGACACCTGCCACAGGTATTCCTTCTGTGCAGACCTGGCGACTACACTGAGGGCAGGGGCTCTGGCCCGGTGTTCAGGCTGAAACCAGGGTTTGAAATGCCTTTATGTACAATTTTAATTGCCGAAAGCATACCTTTTGATGCAAGTTAGAAATGGGCTTGTGAATTCCCCAGTCATTGAAGATTGCTTCCCACCCTCTATCAAAGGTCCCACTCGGAACCAGCAGAGGTCGCCCTGCTCCCTTGCCATTGCTATCCCAGCCTGGTTGTGGGCTTCCTCTTGCTGATTGACTGGATATAGGACCACTAATTAACAAGAGCTCAGAAGCTGCCCCCAGGGTTTGCGCTGTTTCGGCCTCCATCAGACTTAACTGGCAGTCTAGCATTCAGTCATCCGGACCAGGGGGCAGCAAACTTTTTTCTAGACCAAACAGTAAATATTTTCGACTTTGCAGGACATCTGGTCTCTATTGCAACCACTCAACTCTGCCATCGTAAGCCTGAACACAGCTAGAGACAATATGTAAATGATGAGCTTGGCCCTGTTCCAATAAAACCATTTATGAGCACTGAAATTACCATTTTCACATGTCACAAAACATTCTTTTGGGTTTTTTTCCCCCAGTCTTAAAAACATTCTTAGCTCCCCAGCTGTACAAAAAGAGGCAATGGGCTGGATTTGGCCTGCAGGCTGTAGTTTGCTGACCCCTGATATCAGTAGGCTCTCATCAGTGCTTGGGAGAGTATCAGTTCCCATAGGGATGAGGCACAATCAGAATGGCCCCGATTCACAATAGCAACTTTGGACCACAAGTCCTGAGCTGGGCTCCCTGTTCTTTAACAAAAACCAACGTGTGTTACCCAGCTAAGGAGAAGGAAAGCCTCAGGGGTAGAGCTGAGAAGTCCTCCCTGAAGCAGAGGTTATAGAGGTTGGAGGGTCTGGGAGGAACAACCACATGTATGTGCCACACACACACCATGGCGTGTGCCTTTCCCAGGGTTGGTACTCAGAGCAGCCCATGTGAGAGTGAGGGTGGCTGGGAATGGTGCAGTGCTTGGGTGTAAGAGTTCCCCAGGGAAGAGTGTGCATAAAGGGAGGGAGACGTGTCTGCCCTCTTCCTGCCTGCACTCACCTTCATATAACATGGGTTGAATAAAAGATTCATCTTGGGACTGAGGGAAGTATAGAGAGAGACAATTACAGCCTGGCTCTAACCCTCCCATTGCCTGCTCATTAACATGCTCGGCACCAGCCTGCTGCAGATTTCCTGTTTCAGAACCCCGGAGGGAAGGAGCCGTATCCTAGCCAGGGAGTGAGGGAGAATTGCAAAGGATTTGGGCGGGGGGAGGTAGGTGTTAAATGTTTCTACTCTTATTTCTAGAACAGTTTGTGAAGAGCTGTATGCCCATCCCCAGCATGAACATACATTAACAGCCTGGGTGAGTTCAGTGCAGGTAACAGCGCTGAGGAGGGGGGTGGGGGGTGGTGGAAGGCAAGGAAAACATTGTGGGCACACGCTTGCCCGACACTTCACTTCTCACCTTGGGCCAGTGAAGATACGGAAGGATCTAGATCTGGAAGCCAGAGAGTGGGCCCAGCACTTGGTGGGGTCATACTTACTGTGCAAATTGGCACTTGGGTCCCTTGGGACAGAAGCCAGCTAAGTAGTTAATACACATTGTTCTGCGGACATGGCGGTATTTACATCGAGACCCTGCTGGGCAAAGAGAAAATGGACAGAAGCGTCTGCTTGAGCGAGGGGGGAAACACACATGACAGCGCTCACCAGGAAGGGTGTGGACAGTCACAGGCTCTCCACTTAACAGGGGTGTATAAACCTTCCCGTCCTTTCACACTGCCCCGCAGCACCTACCTCCTAGTCCTGTGACTGAGACACGAAAGGGAACCTTGGAATGTGTTGGGGCAGGTGTCAGCTGGCCAGTCCTGACAATGGTAGGGTAGGAAGTGTCCCTAACACAGTGTCTTGGAGGACTTACATGGGTGTGGACCATAATTTGCTACCTTTTATTTATTTAGCTTTGGAAGGTACAGCTGAAGAAAAGTCTACCCCCACATCTTACTAATCCTCCTTCAGTACCCCTCCCCTACGATCCCAAAACCAACGCTGCCAAGAACTCAGTAAGAACACCTGAAGACACAAGAAAAGAAAGGACACAAGTGCTCAGAGCACAGGGTCTCTGCTGAGGATCCTCCTCCTAAGTGAGGCTGTAATGGGGTAGGTGGGACATGCTTAAGTGACACTCGGGACACCCCCAGGTGGGTAAGAGGAATAGAGACGAGAATGCACGTGAACTGAGTGTCCCTGTGGGCCAGAGCCTATGCCCAGGGCTTCCGATGGGGTCCTGCATCTGAGCAGCCCAACAGCCCTATGAGGAGGTGTTTCCCCCTTTTAGAAGTGAGGAAATGAGCAGTTCAGTCATTTGTTCAAGGTCAGGCAGCCGACACATTCTGAAGCCACTGGGATTTGAACCCAAGTCAGCCTGCTCCAGGACGCCCGTCATGTGCCACACCACGCTGCATGTCGTAGTGTCACAGAGGGTTTTTCCACAGGAGCGAGCCCGGGGAGAGCTATGGAAAGGCCTTCTGTTGGGATTTCAACCTGGGGGCAGATCCCACGGGGCCTCACCAGGAATCTGCATCCCTCGCCTGACAGGAGAGCCCAATCCTGATCACCCACATTCCCCAGCATCCCCTTTCTGTCAGGGCCTCACCATCCTTGCAGAAACCTTGGTCGTACCAAGGACAGTCCCGGGTCTTGAAAGCTGGCTTCACGTGAAGAAAGGGACATTCCTTGTTGTTGCAATCACCTGAAAATTCCAGCGTTCTTTGTATATAAGCGGGCTCATCTTTACGGTCACTTCCGCCTTCCCCAAGCTGGACTGGCCTTGCCCTTTGCATATAAGCCACTTCCCTTCCTTCTGGTCGTCAGCGGCTTTCTGAAGACAGCAGGATATTTCTAACCTTTCCTGCAATCTAAGAAGGGTGGATCCCAATAACATTTGCTAAGCAGGGCTTGGGTATGAAGATCCACATCTGGAAGAGTTGGGGCAGGGCCAGATATCCAGAAGGAGGGACTGGAGCTGAAGTCTTTTAGAGGCTATTAGGGGGAAGGAATGGAGGGAGACCCAGAGCTAGCAGCTAACGACCCAAGAAGACAGAAGACACTGAATGCAGATGTAGCCATGCGCTGTGGTTAAAGCCCTCTCTTCATCTCTGCAGTGAAGCCTGCACTGCTTCTAGAGCCTCTGGGTGTGGTTCTTTTTGGTGGAAATGCCAAGAAGAGCCGAGTACTGCTTCACAGTTGGCACGGGGATGAAGAGAGATGCTGCCCAGAGGGACACCTGCAGTTTCACTAGCCTGTCCTGTAATCTGTCTATAGATGAGACCAAGACTCATGTCTCCTAGAAGGAGCCAACCTGTTTGCATCGATGACCCAGGAGTTGTTGTAAGAGCCCTTAGATTTCTCTTAGGGACCCAAGGGCTCTAAAGGAAACATGCGGGAAGATTCAGCCTATTTTTCACCTCATTCAAGTAGAGAATTGGTGTTTTCCAATCTCATCCTCCTCAAAAGTCTACAACTCAGTGCTCTTCAGAGCCAAAAGGAGCTTTGCAGCATGTCCTCTGCTGGTTTTCAAACTGCTCCAAAGAAATCTATTTTATACATTGGGCTTCTGCAAAGTGAAGAAGAGTACCACTGATTCCTAAGAGTTTTAAACCACATTCTTTCCCAGCCCTTTCATTTCACACACGAGGACACCAGTGCTCAGAGAGGGGAAATGTCGTGCCCACTGTCACCCACTTCCTCACACTGGGGAGGGGTTCACTCACTCATCGTCAGGGTGTAGCACTTGGTAGAGAGCTAGCTCTGGGCTTGAGCCTTCTAAGGAATGGCAGTGACATCCCCATAGCGCTGGTGAACATCTGATAGATGGAGACCATGGGAAGTCATCTCTGCAAGGTGTTGCTTTCTGCCCTGGCCTGGATGCATGTCTCTGCCTTCCTCTCACGGCCAGCAGGTGGCACCCGCACCCCACCCTCCAATCGGCCTTGCAGAGCCACCCAGTGTACCTTCTTGAGGAGCACGTCCAGGAGCAGGGCCAGCGACCCTGGGCTCCCAGGCCCCTTCAACTGCCCTTTCCCACTCCCACACCTCCCCAACAATATTTTTTAAGATAAGACAGTTTACTACCAATAAGAATGATAATTACTTTGATATGTTATTAAAGATATTCATTTACTCCAAGAGCAAAAACAGGTCACGTGTATTGCAGTCATTGATGTACACGCCTGCCCCTCACAATGGGAGCTACTTGAGGGCAGGAGGGGACCTGGTCCTATTCCTGTTGCCATGTCCAGCACAGTCTCCGATCCCCAAAAGAAAACCAGCCAAGGTCTGTTGAAGGAATAAATAAGTGGCATTTTAAAATGAAAGAGGTTTAGGTCATGACCAAGGGGAGCTGGGTTCCAGACAAACTTGGCCCTTCCTCTCAAGGAGCACATTCAGGCAGCCCTCATGAATTGCCACGGCCGGCCCTTAACTCTGAAGAGCAGAGAGGAAACAGAATTTGGGCCTGGGAGGAGCTCTTGCTGACCTAGGGGGAAGCTTTGCTTTCTTCCCACATACCCATGACCTCCCCGCCAATCACACTAATGAGGAGCAGCTGCAGGCCCCCCAAAGCTGGCTCAGTTTCAAAGCCAAGTCTCCTCAGTCAGAGGTGTCCCTGGAGACTGTCCCCGCTCTCTCCCTCCAGGTCACTCTTTTGGGAACACAGTTTGAAAACCACTGGACTAGATAATCCTTAAGGCTCCTTCCAGCTCTGAAAAGCACTGAGCTGTAAAGTTTTATGGAGAGGGATGAGATCTGAGACACGTTCACAGATTCCATTATGGAATGAGGGGGGCAATGAGGGGCTGCCCCCCATATAGTCCTTGGATGACAAAAGGAGCACTTGAGGTCAGAGGGAGGTAAGATGCTGGTCCAGACCTGACCACACAAGATAATTTTAGGGGCTGTACTCTGAACCCCATGAGTGTATGTTTACAGTTACTTTTATTGCCAATAAGTGATGCTAGTTTTCCATTTATGGAAGCAAAGTCAAGTTTTCTTCTAAAATAAGAGTTAAAAATAGCAAGACAGTTGAAAGAGTAGACGATGGGACCGGTCAGCGGTACAGGTGCTTCGTGGGGGTGGCAAGCATCGTGAAAGCAGCTCCCAAAGGCCTGCTGTTTCGGAAACGCTGGCCTGCACCCTGCCCCCGCCCCAACCCCAGGACTGACTGACAGATGGACCATTTAAGACTTATTTCCAGACAGTCAGTCTGGGAGTGTGACTAGCCAGGTCTGGGGAGGGAAGCAATTCAGCTTTGATTCCAGCCCCCACTTCTCCTTCCCTTGTGGGTAGCTGGTGTGTGCCTGAGCCTGGTGGGGCAGTGGAACAGGCATCAGAGGACAATTCCACTTTTCCTAGGGGGTTGGAGAGGCTGGCATCCGAGGCTCAGACAGGCCTGGTCTGCCACCTGGGACATGCAAGGCCTCCTCTGGGTGCCCCTCCCAAACCTTCTTCCCATCTCACGGCCCCCACTGCCACCCCCAGGTGTGGGGCCAGAGCCAGGAAGGGGCATTACCGAACTTGGAGTAGAAGTAGCACTCGGGCATCCTGGTAACGTCGTACTGGTGCAGGAACTTGCACTGGTCGCCCTTCTTGCACAGCCCCCGGAGCCAGTGCTTACACACCACCGTCTTATCCCCTTGGTCATGCCGGAACGGGCAGAGCCTCCCTGGGGACACCCAAGCACCCAGCTGGGAGGCCCCCACTCGTCCACAGCCTGGCCCAGCTCACCCCTGGAAGGGGCTGGGTCTCAGACCCCAAGTGGCCTCCCTTCACCTGGACCCTGGGGGAGGCGAGAATTGAGGGCCTGAGACAACACGGAGGACATGGACATGCTGTTGTCTTAACGGCTGTTCCTACTACCACCCCTCTGCCCAAGCTTTCCTCTCTGCCTGGCCTGCCCTTGTCCTTCTCAAACCCCGGGAAGCCCCTGGCTGTTGGGACAGCTCCCACAGCGCCTTACCCGCCTCCTCCAGGCTTACAGCGGGGTTCCCCCAAGAGAGCAGAGCGGGTTTCCAACCCTGGACCCCCACCCAGCACAGTCCCTGGCACACAGTATGTGCTCATTAAGGGCCTGTTGAATTCATGTCTTAAAAAAATAAACGTTACATTTCCTGATTCTGGAGACCTAACATGGTGACATCAAAGCCAACTTTGAAACAATTTAGAAGGAAATGGAAATATTATATTTACCTCTTTATCATTTTCATTAACATGGTGTTGCCATCAGCAGGAAGGACACCCCAGGTCCTAAGTTTCTAAGCAGGACTGGCCTCATGCTCAGCCAACTCTCTCATAGAATTTGAGGGGGGCTGGGAAGTTGTTCTTTTTTGTTTTTCTTTGCTTGTTTGTGGGGAAGATCAGCCCTGAGCTAACATCCATGCCAATCCTCCTCTTTTTGCTGAGAAAGACTGGCCCTGAGCTAACATGCGGGCCGATCTTCCTCTACTTTATGTGGGACGCTGCGACAGCATGGCCTGACAAGCGGTGTGTTGGTGCGTGCCCGGGATCCGAACCCGGGCCGCCAGCAGCAGAGCACGCGCACTTAACCGCTATGCCATGGGGCCAGCCCCAGAGGTTCTTTTTAAATAGCGCTCCCCTCACCCCTGGCCATTGACTTGAGTCTGAGCTTCCACAAGACCAGTTTTCTTTCTTTGCAAGAGGGTCTCACTGTGAGCCACTACTCGAGAGATTGAACAGGCCGAGCTGAGGAGGCATCACTTAGTCCTGGCTTCACAAAGCCTCGAGTGATCAATGAGCTCATTTCCCTTCTCACCCGATTGCCCCAGGCTGGCTCCAACACAAACAAGGCACGTGGCAAAAATGGCTCCAGGTCCTCCCTGCCTGGGTCCCTCCTAGCCTCCCACCCTCCCGAGAACAGAAGCACTCGGATCCCAAAAGCAGGTCCTAAACTCATTCATACTGGCAGGTTTCTTAACCTGGATCTACAGGGGGACTGGGAACCCCCAAATCGAAGGCAAGACTTTTTGGGCACCTGTGTATTTCTATAGGAAGACCCTGTGAGTGGTTTATGAGCCAGAAGAAAAGCTGAGAACCCCTGTATTTGGGTCAGCCCCCCCGCCCCCAAACAGCTACATTTGGGGAGACGGGCTTGGAAGAGCAGCTTGATCCAAGTCAGGGCAGGGGAGAAAGAGGGGATGTTTGTAGGTAGCATTTCATAGACTGTGGCCAGAGCTACCTTAGGACATAAGGAATGGACAGAACAGGTGACCAGGTCCCATACTGAGTCATAGGACGAGAGTGGGGGGAAGGATGCCACTTCCCTGGCTAGGAGGAAAATAGGAGAAAATGAAGCAGTCAGGGGCCTCCTGGGAATACACAGGCTGAAACTCACGAAACTCCCAGGCCCAACAAGGCAGAAAGAAAGGAATGCCCCTTCCAAGCAGCCCTGGCTACCCTAATTAATGCTACCGAGTCAGGGAAAGCCTTGGGGGAGGGGGGCTGGCAGGCTTCTTGATGGACCCACGCCCTTTGCCTACTTTTAAGTCTAAAATTCCGCCCCATCCCAGCTTCCCCTCCCCAGGAGCAAATTCGACACCCTGTTCCAGGCCAAGCTAAACCCAATGCGGCCCAGCCAGCCTCTGCTCCGGCCCCACCTCAGGCCCCACCTGCTGACCCACCTTTCTCACAGAGCCCTTTAGCGAAGAAGCTGCACACAGCTGAGTTCGACTCTGGAATGGGAAGAAGCGAAGAAAGAAGGTAGTGTCCCCACAGGCTGCAGCTGCCAGAGGGCCTTCACCCCCATCAGCAAGTCCCCCCTGAACCTCCCCAAGGCTTGGCGCTGGGACCCCCACGTCCTGGCCCTTTGGATGCTGGTCTCCAGAACCAGCCTCCAGACCTCAACAACTAAGCCCCCCAACTCTGAAACAGAGGTGAGGGAGGGGCCCAAGTCCAGCTTGGGAGGCCAATGTGCCCTTGCCTGGCTTCCCTCAATTCGCCTTCTATGTGTCCCTGCTTTCCCAGTCTGGAAAATGGGCTGCCCAGAAGCCAGCCCCATTTTCCCCCCCAGAGAGGATGTAAGAGGAGAGGCCTGAGCCCCTGCGAAGAGAGGGGCTAAGCTGGGAATCCCAGACAGTGGGCCCAAGTTCCCGGCTCAGTCTCCCTGGTGAGCAGCAGAGAGACGGGGCCACCCCATCAGGGAGCTGAGCAGACACGCCTGTAGAGAAGGCTGGGGGAGGGATGGGAGGATGGTGTGGTGTCCCTGAGGGGCGGCCGTCCTCACTCACTGTCCATGCCCTGGAAAGGCAGGAGTCCAGTTCCCTTTTGCATCTCTACATCCTTCTCGAAGGTGAAGGTGAACCGCTCCAGCCCGGCAATGACCTCTTGCATCTTCCATCTCCCGCTGGGGCTGCTGAAAGCTGCTCAAGCCCCTGCAGGTGGACCCTATATACTCATTGGAGCCCTTAAGGGGCCAGAGTCTGCTGCCGAGCCCCTTCTCCCCAGATGCTGGTGGCCAGGTGGCTGCCGGACTACTCTCTAGGCACAGCTGTACAAGAGTGCGACCCAGCTGTCTCACCCTCCCACCCGGTGCAGGTGCAGACGCCCCAGGGCCCCACACCCCCACACTGTGTACACAAGTCCCACTCCCAGTGCACGCTGCTGGGGCGGGATTAGCCAAGACCCACACACTGCTTATCTCTGCGTGTTCCCAAACGCACACAGCGTACGCACAGACGTTACCAAACCTGGGCTTATCCTTGCACCATGAAGACACAGCCGCAGGTTCGCTGGGAGGAGTTGCACAAACCGACCACAGCGCAGCTGTTCTGAGTCGCAGGAGCTCGGGGGCCAGACGGTGTGGGGACGGATGGGGGGTGCAGACCTGCCTCCCCCTTTCCTCCCAATCGGGTCCCAGCCAACTCCTCCCACTGGGGCTCCTGACACCCCTTTTCTGGCCTGAGTGATAAGCCCGGAGTGAGCTCTTCATGGGACAGAGGGGGAAAGGAATGAAATCCAGGGAATCGGAAATCGCGGATGAATAGCGCTTTGTTTACCTCGCACACAAGCGGGAGCTGGACTGGGGGGCGGGACCAGCCAGAGGCCGAGGCCTCCCAGCCAGGATTCCGCGGGGCCACCCAGCGCCTCCCGCCCCTGCGAAACTGCTTTGTAAACGAAATCTCTATGCAAATGTTGTTTTATTATGATTACACCACCCTTGCCCCCAGGGCTGGGGACATTTGAAAGCACTTTCAAAGGAGCATTTTAGGGCTCTAATTAGAGCAGGCTTCCCCCCTCCCCCTGCTCTGGCCCCTAATTGGCCTTCCCCCTCCAACTGGAGCTGAGTCGCACTGGAGTTGATGCCCACAGAACCCAAACGCCCTCCTTCCTGGAGGGAGCGGCGAGAGGGGGGCAGCGCCCTGCAGGCCCGCAGCCCGGCCAACAAGAACGAGCCTGCTGGCTTTGTTTCCCGTGGCTGTCGCTCCTAGATTTGTTGTTCTTTTGTACTCGGATCAGAAAAGAAAATAGCTGGAGAGATAGACACCTGGAGCCGAGGCTGGGAGGGGCAAGGAAAGGATTCAAGAGTTTCCAGAAGCCTGGGCCTCCCTCCAACGACATTCCTGGGAAGGCCGAGGGGCGAGCTAGGGGCTGTGGGAGGGTGGGGACCAGGGGTCTCTGGGGTAGAGCCCTTGCTTCTCTTGGCCCTATTCACATGCATTGATTAGTCGTCCCAAGAACACCTTCATCTGTCAACACAGGCTCATTTAAGGCCCACTCCAACCTGGCAGAGCAGGCAGATGAGGAAATCTACGCTCAGCAAGGCCAAGGGCACACAGTTGGTAAGGTGATAACGATGGAATTTAAATCCAGGTCTCTTGAGGATTTCCTTCCACAAACATCCACAGAGCATCTCTGTACTAGAGACTGGGGACTCCAGAACAAAGGCCTGTGTTCCTGCCCTCAGGGATGGCCCAGTCAAGTGGGGGAGTCAGACATTCAACAACACAATTACACAACAGGATGACAACGGTGGGGGGGGGTGCATAAGCAGGGGCAGGGAGGGATGGCAGGGAGGGCTCTCAAAGGAGAGTCTGGTGATGATGAGGGGAGAATGTTTGCAGAAGAGAGGCCCGCAGTAGGAAAGCACAGGGCCATTGAAGCAACGTGGCAGGTCAAGGGTCAGGGGTTTGGTTTGGCAGAAGCATGGTGTTAGAGAAGGGAAGTGGTTGGTGACAAGACTGGGGGAGTAGGGACCTGAACCTGGAATGTCGTTTAGGGCTTGGTTTTTTGTCGTGAAGCCAATGGAGAGCCCCAGAAGGGCTAGGAGAGCAAGGCACAGCACCCTGGAGAATGGATTGTGGGGGAAAGTCAGGGGCAGGAGGCTGCTTAGGGGCTGATCAGAAATAATAATTAGAGGGTGGGCCCAGTGGCATAGTGATTAAGTTCACGTGCTCTGCTTCGGCGGCCCGGGTTTTGCGGGTTTGGATCCTGGATGCGGACCTACACACTGCTCATCAAGCCATACTGTGGTGGCGTCCCATATACAAAAGAGAGGAAGATGGGCACAGATGTTAGCTCAGGGACCATCTTCCTCAAGCAAAAAGAGAAAGATTGGCAACAGATGTTAGCTCAGGGCCAATCTTCCTCACTACTATTACTACTACTACCACTACTACTACTACTAAGAGCCCTCCCAGCACTCTAGTGGCCCAGAAGAGTTCATGGATGAGGGCTGAGCATGAAAGGGGCCCCAGCAGAGACTCCTCTCTCCACCCACCACCAGCTTCTCCCCTCCTCTTCTGGTCAAGGTCCCACCTTCCACCTGGACTCCCCATCCCACCTTTGTGTGCCTGACCCGCAGGTGTGGAGATGGAGTCCCTTCTCCCAGTGCTTCATTAGTTTGGCATAAGAATGACAGCACCTTGCCTTCATGGTTTTTGCTTCTCCAAAATACCTTCTGGTGTGGGTTGTATTGTCTCGCCGAAAAGATAGTCTAAGTCCTAACCCCTGTGAACGTGACCTTATTTGGAAATTGGGCCTTTGCAGGTGTAATTAAGTTAAAGATCTCAAGGTGAGATCATCCTGGAATTAGGCTGAGTCCTAAACTCAATGACTGGTATCCTTAGAAGAGAAGAGAGAGGAGGGTTTGAGACACATAGAAACAGAAGAGCCCCAGAGAAGAAGGCGTGTGCAGACAGAGAAGGAGACTGGAGTTGTACAGCTGCTGTGGGACCCCAAGGAAGGCCAGCGACCACCGGAAGCCAGGAGAGAGGCGTGGGACAGCTTCTCCTCAGAGGCTCCAGAAGGAACCATCCCTACCGACACCTTGATCTCAGACTTCTGGCCTCCAGAATGTGAGAGAGTAAATTTCTGTTGTTTTAAGCCACCACCTTTGTGGTAACGTTATGTCAGCCCCAGGAAACTGACACATCTTCCCACTTGGAAACAGAGCTTTGGAAGACCCTTTTACAGATGAGCAAGTAGAAACACAGAGAAGCTGGGTGGCTGCCCAGGTCCCACAGCTAGTTAGTGTCAGCCCTGGGAGTCGGGTCTGGGCCTCCCACCTCTCAGGCCCTTTCCTTCTCCTCTGTCTCACTCAGACTGGGGGGGCTGCCCCCCCCTGCTGTTTATACTACCTCATAGCTCCCAAGTGGACCGGCACCCCTATTCTGCAAAGACGAAGAGCAAGCCCCAGGCAGAGAAGCCCTGGCAGCGCCCTGGAGAAGGGCCGGGGCTAGAGCCGGGGGTCCCAGCTCTGGGATGTCCCTGCTGGAACCTCACAATCCGTTCTTCTGTGCCCTGGAGCTTATCCCAAGCACTTGTGTTTTCATTTATTAATTAATTCATGGCTGCAAAGTGGACGCGCAAATCGCTAAACAAACAGTGGTGTTAATTTTTAATCACCATCATTATGAGGCTCTCATTTAATTCCCACTGCAGATTTTCTGAATCATCAGCACCCTGCCCTTTTCCCTTTATAAACGCGTTGCTCTGAAACGCAGGGGTGCAGGGAGCTCTAGAATTCTCTGCTGCCGGGAACTGGCAGAGGTCATTGTGCCCAGCCCCTGGCCTCGGCTCAGCTGCAGCCGGCGCTTTTCTGGACAGTGTGGCCACGCCCTCCTCCCTGGTATCTGTGCGTCTGCCTTACTCCCCACTCGGGCACCCTGGGTTCATGGGAAGTGTGCAGACTGTGATATCGGGCAGGCCAGGGTTCAAATCCTGGCTCTGCCAGTCCCCAGCCTGTAATCCTGGGCTGGTCATTTAATCTCCTCTCTCAGCCACAGATTCTGCATCCGTAAAATGGGACCCATAGCGTGACCTCCTTGGGGGCTGAGGATAAGTGAGAAGTACATGTGGATGCCTGACATGGGGGAGTAGTGTTATTAGAGTTGTCCTTCCCAGGAGATGTGTGCCATGAGGCATTAGGAATGGGTGTGGCCTGGTGCTCACGGCCCCAGGTGTCCTGTCCACAGGGCCACCCCTTCTTCAAGTTTATTATTCCTAAGGACCCCTGATTCAAGGTGCTGTGGGGGCAGGGGCTCCACGCTGTTCAGGTGCTGTTGGAGGGCTGCTCTAGGTCCAGGAGGGATGGGCCTGGCGGCTGGAATAGCCACGGTGTTGGGAGGGAGTGGGAGTCAGGAGGAGCCCCCAGTGACCCACAGCTGCTGCTGCTCAGCCCCAGGGACAATGCACGCGCCAGTGTGCCCTGCCCTCTCCATTGCTCTTTGTGCCCCAGAGATGCCACTTGCTGGGGACAGCTGTTGGCCTCTTGAATACAAGAGCCACTTGAACAATAGCCACTTGAAGTGCAGGGCAGAGAGGTCCAGTGTCGGGATGGTCCTGCTCTGTCTTTGCCTGGGAGCTTGGTCTCTGGGAGTCCAGTGGTTCTAGGAACTCTGCTCTGGGAAAGGCATCTCTCTACCCCGGAGGTTGGGGCGCACTAACAGGAGTAATGACCTACCCCACATTTCTCACCAGGGTCCTCTCTGGTCCTCACTGCAGCCATTCCAGTTGCTTCTGCCCATTTTACAAAGAAACCAAGGCCCGGAGTGGTGGAGCAACTGCCTAACCTCACACAGCCAGCACATGTCAGAATGGGGACCTCGAATCCCAACGTTTGCCACCAAGTGCTAGGACTTAATGAGTTGAAGTTGACTGTGTACACTCTAACTCCTACAAAACCTTGAAAAGAGAGTCATTATTGTTTCTCCTCTACAGTTGAGAAAACTGTGGCTCAAAGGCTTAGATGAGCTTCCCAAAGACCACAAGCTCGGTCTGCATGACCCCAAAGCCAAGCTCCTTCCAGCCTACCAAGCTGCAGTGTGGGAAATGGCCCCACCCGCGGCCGGTAAGACGACCAAGACCCACGAGACCCAAGATCGTGACTGGGC